ATGTGAGACTTGGATTCTCACGTTGTTTAGCGGTGCGAGGAGCGAGAGGCGGTTTTATATCAAACCGCTGTCTTCTGTAATACATGACTGTTTCGAGAAATTTCTCCATACCTTAATGATTTCGGTGTAGATGTTGGGTACTTGAGGATTCATATCTCACATGCCGTCGATGTATGAATTGAAAAATGGATGAATGAGAAGCCGCCACAGATATATATCACGCTCTTGCTAAGCATGAACACCATCAAGTACTAAACCTATGTCTCGCGATATGGTTTTCCATGTATCTACATTTTCTTTCCCATCGAGAGAAAAACATAGCCATTAGAGACACACGTAAGTATTTTAATCAATTGAATTATTGCATCTAGGTTTGTGGAAAACAACACAGGGATTTTACATTGTGGAACACATCACGATGTGTACCTTGCCATAAGAAACGACTCACGAGAAACGAGCACTATGTCGACGAATCAAGCAAAGTGTATACCGATGTCATGTCATGTCATTTGAGGATATGATCCCAATACCATATACTATGCCCACCCTAGCATTAACCAAACGCCCAAACGCACACGCTTCCCAAACTCCGCTCTACCAGAACTACCCTAGTATCCTGAAACCAATGAATGAAGAAAGAATACTGTACAAAACTGCCACCCCAAGAACCGTCACCACTCAAAGCGTAGGCGCCCTCTTCAAACCCCGACAATACCTAACATACAACGCATCAATAAAATGGCTATGCCTAATCCCCGGCGGCCTCGCCTGCTTAAACGTCTCAATCGCATCCTCAACACTATACCCCAACCTCTCAATCAGATAGCTCACGAGAAAGAAGCCTGTGCGGTTGAAACCATAATGGCAATGTACGCCAATCAACCCGGGCCTACCTTCCGCACGGATTTTATCGACGAGATCGAAAAAATCGTTGACTTCGGCTGCTTGGGGCGGTTGCTTGGATACGGTGGGGAATTTGTGGTAGGGGATTCCGCCTTCTTCTAGGCCTTTGGGGTCGTATACGGGGTTGTCGTGGGAGATGTCGATTACGGCGCAAAGTTTACCCTTCCACTGCCTTGTTAACACTTTGGGGGTGTGTTCTTCATCGACCTCTCTTAGTGTCTTCATCGCGCGGAAGACGCCTGCGATGGGTGCGGAGACGGGGGGCACGGCTTTCCATTTTGCGAGGTTTTTGACGTCCCATTTGCCCTCTGTGGAGAGGTAGGAGAGTTGCCATGCTAGGGAGAGGCGCGGGTCGATGTAGTCGATGAAGAAAGTGTTGATGAGGCCGGCTATGATGCGCGAGGTTGAGGGCGCGAAGAGGAGCGAGTGTGCGGCTGGCTTGGGCATTATGGCAGTTTTGACAACGAGGCGGCGGGGGTGCGGGGACGGAGTGTGGGTGGTGGGGGTTATGGGGGTTGTGGTGGCGGAGAGGAGGGGACCGTCGGTGGTAATTACGCTGCCTTCTGTTGTATTCTCTGAGATAGAAGAGACGCTGACGTCCGTGGTGGATATAGCGGTTGATTCGATGGTCTTGGTGTCGTCTTCTAGTTTTGGAAGGTCCTTGACATCGATACCGGAGTCTTGGTGCTCTGTACGTCCTGGGTTGTCGTTGTCAGGGAGGACTGCAGAAGGTACGAAGGGGGCTGCTGCGATGGGCAGACTCGCCATTTCGCTTGGTGGTTGGATGGCGCTAACATCTCTTCCTAGAAACTCGACAATCTGTTTGACATTCGACGGGGGAGTTACTGTGTCTGTCTCACCGGCGGCAAGGAACACCGGTATGTTTAGTCCTTTCCAGATCTCCTTCCCTGGGAGACCCCCTACCGGCGAGCCACTGGAGTAGTCGGGGCACATTCCACGGGCCATCCTCAACCACACAGCACTCCGGCTCTGCTTGTTGAAACGCAATTGTAGCTTCTTCGTTTCGTCGTCAGAATCCACCCCTGCCATGCGTAGGACGCTCTTGCTGTTGACACCTCCTCTTCTATCCCAACGTCTAATCAGGTCGAAAAGAGCAGCAGGCATCAATGTGACCGAGCGTAGCTTCTTGACTTCTTCTTCAGTAGGAGGTTCAGCTTTGGGGCAGATGGCAATCAAGCCGCTGACATGCTGCGAAAGGAGGTGTGCATGTGGGGAAGTTGGGGAAGCCAGGAGCGCAGCAAGTGAGCATCCCATGCTGTGGCCAACAAGAACAACAGGCTGCCCGTCGTTGACTCCACGATGTGCTTCGATAACGACGGCGAGAAGCTGCACCAGGGCTTCTGTGGTGTAGGCTCCCCATGTCTTTGGCTCGAAGCTTGACACACCGCATCCAGGGAGGTCAACGGCCAGGCAGGGGGCAAGATTGGAAAGACTGATAAGGATGGGACTGAACTGAGCGATAGAGCCTCCGAGGCCATGAATAAACACCAGTAGTGGAACGGGACATGGATCCTTGGGAAGTTTGTCCTCTTGGTGGTGTGGGCGGTAAAAGGTCCGGAGCCTGGGGTAGACGAATCCAGTTGACGAAACAGTGTAGGAGCGAACGGTGGAGTACTTCTTCAATAGGCCTGGGTCTGTACCAGCGGCTTCATCTGCGGAGGATTAGTAAAACAAGGCTAAATGATCGCCAGCTAGGCCACGTGATGAATGACATCCACGTGTGTCGCTAGACAGTACACTCACCAGCCGCGGTATCAGATACATGTTGTGTGTTGATGGCGGTTCCCTTGTCTCCCTTACTCCTATACCAGAGCACAGATCCAAACCCACACAAGGCTGTCAGTTGGAGCATGCCCACAAAAGTCAGAGTCAACCGGTCTCCGCTAACTACGAATGGGTTGAGAAGCCGGAGCAGACGGAGGGCGGATTGCTTTATACTGTGCCCATACCAGAGATTAAGGTCTGAAGCGGTCTGTGTCACTGGATCGCTGGGTGAGGCAGCGAGGGGAGCCTGTGGAAGACGCAACGTGCCATTGCGGAACAAGCCAGGTCGCGAATGAGGCTCCATGTCCCTTTTCGTGCTGGAATGCTGAAAGTATATGCGACGGGGCGTTCGGGTTGCCGGCGTGCGGGACGGTGACGAGCACTGGGCGGCAGCCAATGGAATCAGATGGTGCCTCTCGTGCCCGGATCGCTGGAGAGAAAGAGCCGGTGCTGAGAGCGTCTCTTATTGGAAACCTTGCGCACGTTTGGCAACGGCGAATGCGCGGCTACGAAGGATATTCCTTAATCTGGGATCTGAAGGCGCGATCGATATCTGACGAGGATATCATCCTGACACAGCGATATGGAGAGATAAAGCGGCAGCGAGCGGTTTTGCTTTGTGCGATAGTGCTTTGCAACCCCCAACGCGGCAGGGAATGGCGTGGGAGTGTTTGCGATATGGATATTGCTTAGTAGAGAGGTTTGTGATGGGCGCATGGGCTGTATGACGTTGGGTTGGGCTGCTGCCAGGCTTCGGAAGCGGCGTTTTCACGTCCATCGTGGGAACTTGGCAGGGATGCTGGAGCTTCTTCCAACGGCCTTCCCCTGACCATCATCGATTGCGAACTCTATGGAGAACCATACTTAGTCCTCCCATCTCCCCGTCTTATTGAGACCTGCCAATTTGTGCGTGCTTTTCTTGTGATCCGGATCTTCCGGTGCGACGCCAGCCCGATACACCAGCGACTGAGCACCGTGTGCTCTTCATCGTCAGTCCCCCAGCCCAAGGCAGAATGCAGTACAGTACATCTACTGGGAACGACCCGGTACTCGGGTCAGATCGACTTACCTGGCCGTCGCGGTACGACATGGACAGATGAATACATAGCCGACCTGCAGCCTTGCGAGCTGCGACGACCATGCAAAGCGCCAGACTCGCAGGATGCATGCGAGAGGCTCCCGCCATTCCCAGCGCGACCTGGCGTCTTTCCAGAAACACCCCGCGAGCGACTTCGCCGTTGCAGACGCCGCATGTGGTCAAGCCGAAGCCGCGCCGGTAGTTGCGCCGACACACACCGGATTTGGCCGCGACCAAAGTAAATTCCCCAGACCAAACCACACCATACGGCGCTAGATGGCCTCGAATCGCCATAATCGGCTTTCAATCAGGCCCGTCGCATTGGTCAATGGCAGCGTGTGTCAAACTCACGCGTCTACCATGTTCTCATCCGACGGACCCCTCCATCGTTCCGAACGTTGGCTCCAGCGCAACGTGACGAAGGGCTGTTGACGCCCCACACCAACGTCGCTGCGAGCATTCGGATTGCTGCTTCGTCACTAGGGCAGCCGACGAATGTGTAGATCCCTGCTACGGGAGTACCTGGGTATACACGGTAACTGCTAGTTATCTCCGTATCTCTCACTACCTCGTCCATTGACTCAACTTTACCTTTGCCTCTTTGACTCCTTCTTGAGCTGCCTGTGGATTCCTCTCTACTCTTTTAATTGCACTGACCTCTCTTATCACTTACCACACTATAAGCAGTACGCCATGGACCCGCGCAACCTCCAGAAGCAGCGTGAACCAGAAGAGCCACGCTTCCTCAGCTTTCCACATCTTCCCGATGACGCGAAGCTTGAGGATGGCAAGCCAGCGCTCAACAAATACTCATCGACACTCACGACCGGTCACAACTTCCCAGGAGCCCAGGTTCGCCATCCTGGTGCCACTACGATTGAAGCATTCCAGTCACTAATGACTCTCGTCGCATAGGCAATGCTATACGCAGCTGGTGTACCGTCACGGGAAGCAATGAAGACGCAGCCCCACGTGGGAATTGCAAGTGTCTGGTGGGAGGGCAACCCTTGCAAGTCAGTGTACCTTTCGGATTCGTTGTCATAATACTAATGATTCTGCAGCATGCACTGTGAGTGACGCATGCGAACGCCGCGATATACGCCAATGTAGTCTCGACGTAGTATACTGACGATGGGTAGTGCTGGATCTTGGGAAGGAAATCAAGAAGCACGTCTTGAACGACAACATGCTGGCATGGCAGTACAATACCATTGGTGTATCTGATGGAATCACAATGGGTGGAGAGGGTATGACCTCACTCATTCATATCTCTTCACAGTCTAACATGTCCAGGAATGCGCTTCTCCCTCCAGACCCGCGAAGTCATCGCCGACAGCATCGAAACCGTAACATGCGCCCAGCACCACGACGCCTGCATAGCCATCCCCGGATGCGACAAGAACATGCCCGGAGTCATCATGGCATTCGCGCGACACAACCGTCCCTCGCTCATGGTCTACGGCGGCTCGATAATGCCAGGATACTCCGAGACGCTGAAGAAGCCTATCAACATCTCGACCTGCTACGAAAGCCACGGCGCATACATATACAAGAACCTGAAGAGTGCTTCAGAGGGCAAGTTCTCACCAGATGAGATCATGGAGGATATCGAGCGGAATGCTTGCCCAGGAGCTGGTGCTTGCGGAGGAATGTACACGGCCAACACAATGAGTACCTCGATCGAGGCAATGGGGCTGACTCTCCCCAACTCTTCCACAACGCCTGCAACTTCACCCGCTAAGATGCGCGAATGTGCCAAAGCCGCCGCTGCGATACGAGTCTGCATGGAGAAGAACATCACACCGCGAAAGCTCCTCACAAAAGCTTCTTTCGAGAACGCCCTGGTCATGATGATGGTACTAGGCGGATCCACAAACGCCGTGCTACATCTCCTCGCCATGGCAGGCACAGCAGGCGTCCCCCTGACACTCGATGACTTCCAGCGCGTGTCCAACAAGATCCCCTTCCTCGCCGACCTCGCGCCATCAGGAAAGTACATGGCAGCAGACCTCTTCGACATCGGCGGCATGCCCTCCGTCATGAAACTGCTCGTAGCAGCCAATCTCCTCGACGGCAGCATCCCCACCGTGACAGGTAAAACCCTAGCCGAAAACATCGAATCCTACCCGTCCCTCCCCCAAGACCAGGTCCTCATCCGGCCCCTGTCCAACCCCATCAAACCCACCGGCCACATTGAGATCCTACGCGGAAACCTCGCGCCCTCGGGTGCCGTCGCAAAGATCACAGGTAAAGAAGGTCTAATCTTCACCGGCAAAGCCATAGTCTTCAACAAAGAGCACGAGCTTGACCGCGCCCTTAACCTAGGCCAAATCCCCCATGGCGAAAACGTCGTCGTGGTCGTCCGCTACGAAGGCCCCAAAGGCGGTCCTGGCATGCCTGAACAACTCAAAGCCTCCGCCGCCATCATGGGTGCTAAACTTACCAACGTGGCCCTCATTACCGATGGACGCTACTCTGGCGCTTCTCATGGTTTCATCGTTGGCCATATCTGTCCTGAAGCTGCGGTTGGTGGACCCATTGCGGTTGTGCAGAACGGCGATATGATTACGATCGATGCGGAGAAGAATCGTATTGATATGGACGTGCCACAGGAGGAGATTGATAGGCGGTTGAGGGAGTGGGTGGCGCCTAGTATGCCAGTCACGAGGGGTGTGTTGGCGAAGTATGCAAGGTTGGTGGGAGATGCTAGCCATGGTGCCATGACGGATTTGTTTTGAGAAGGGAGTGCTATGAAGGTTATTTTGGGGAGTTGGTAGTTTCGGAAAATAGAGGATTGAATATTGCAGACATTGACATATGATTGGCATGTGCACGACAGGTTGGGGGACGATGTGAGACGTCTGTTCCTAAACATGGCAGCGTCAGACGCGCAAGCAAAAGGAGCAAGATGATGGCAATGGTAATATCACAACACCAGATAGGAAACGCGCACAGCAGTCGAAGGTAGGGGTATCATGTTGCTTTTGAGGCCCAAGCCCAGTGTCATTGATGTCCTAGGCTAAAAGCAGGCCCGACTCAATCATGTCTTTCAACGCCATAAGCCGTAAACCGTGGTAGATCCGTTATACCGCCCCGCAATCAAATGCTAGACAGCTCTTTTACACATGTTGTAGAAGGTGATAATCTACTCGTCATCCTCCTCCTCCTCAGCCTCGAGAGTGGTTTGCGCAATACGGTCCAAGTCACGCTGGCCGGACTGTGTGATGCGGCGGCCACCCTTGTCCTCGTCCTGCTCGAGCACACCGATCTTCTCGAGAGCCTGCATGACCTTACGGTCGACGGAGCCGGAGGCGTCGACGTGGTGGGAGGGGCGCGAGCCGCGGTTCTTGGTGGAGCCGTGGACCTTGCGGAGGCGGCCGACACCGACGGTCTTGCGCTGTACAATTCGTCAGCATTCTGTCCCTTCATGTGTTCGTTGTGGTGGGCATTCTGCATACCATGTAGACGTGGCGGGCGACAGCGGCGGCGCGGACGTAGAACCAGTCAATGTCCTGGGGAGGAAGCTCGTTGGAGTCTGCGCATGTTAGTCTGATGGTTTCTCGCAGGGGTTGGGAAATTTGTTTCTTACGGCTTGTCTTGACAGTGTCAACCCAGCCTGTAGATAAGTGGTCAGCGAACTGAGGTTATCCCCCATTTACGGGATTCAGGCTTCATCCTTCACCCGCTGGATAGAGACGAACCTGGACTGATACAACGTTAGCATTTGACATCGTGTGATTTTGCGCAAGGCCAAAACTTACATGGGAAGCTTTCCCTGACGCTTCAAGAAAGCGGCATAGGCGGCGACGAACTTGTGGGACTCGATGTCCTTGACGGAAACTCCGGGCATGATTGCGGTATTGGTTTGGAAGTGGGAGGTGGAGAGAGGCGGTTCCGTGGGCTTGTCGTTGAATGCTGCGGCGTTCGAAGATATCGCGACAGACCAAAATCGACGACCCACGGTGGCTCGCTTAGGAAAAATGGTCGGGCCGGCGCTAGTGGGGCGCTCGGTGGGGTCGCCGAACCATCACTCTTTCCAAGCCTGCAGCCTGCGAACATCGACACGCGCACATCGTCATTGCTCTATTATGTAGTTGAATATCCGTCACAGGTGCTTCTTTGGTGCAGCTCGAAACCCGTCGGTGTCGCCGATTTCAAAATTGGGTGCTCTTCTTGCATGCTTTATAGGCCGCCCAGAACTCACACTATTGGTACTGTAACACAGTCTCATCCGATGCTGGCACCGACTAGTCAACTGTTCGACCGGCAAAATGTTCGCACGTTGATCGTTTTCTGGTACATTACTTAGTACATTGACTTTCCCGTTCTGCAGATCAAGCTATGTGAGCTATGTCAGAAGATGCCGAAGCCGGGGGCCAGCGCCGAGACGAGAGAGATATCTTAGACAAGAGGAAACATGCCGGTGTGCTCGACCAAATTGTCTCACTATTGTTGTCGGAGTCATTGTACGACTTCGAGAACACTTGGAAATTGTTTGAAAGAATATTGACTTCATATTTATGTTATGTTCTTGATACTGATTTTACTTGAGTATTACCCCCATGCAACCCATCTACCACTTGCTAATGTCAACAACAGTAACAGTAACTGAGTTGTTGCTAGCAGGGGGCAGCTCTCCACCACCCATAATCAACAACTTAGACTGGTCCTTGAGGACGCGAAGATGCCTAGTGTAAGAAGTTGCTTCAGGAGTAGCAACCTTGACCCAAGGCCCCTCTCCAAGACCCTTGTTAATGAACACCTCAGAGTTGCTGTGTGCACTGGCAATGATGGTTCCATTCTTGCCGCCAGCAGAGCTCCAGACGACGTATGGAGAGCCGGTGGGGATGGTGCCGTCGGTGGACTTGAGGCTGATACCGGTCGCCTCGCCGAACTTCTCGGGGTCGGACACGATCTTGTAGTAGACAGGGAATTGGTATGAGGTGGTGATAGCAGGTCCACCACCGTATTCGTAGGTCATGATGTACTTTCCGTTGGGGAGCTTGGCGACTGTAGGCATACCAGGACGGTCGGTGTAGGTGGGGTAGGTGACGTCGTCAATGACTGCGCCCCAGGTCTTGAGGTCAGTGGTGGTCTGGTGAACCATCTTCTGGCCGTAGGTGGCGTTCTCGCGCTGGTCGGAGTAGTAGCAGATGAGAGTCTTCTTGTTCATCATCAGGAAAGGCTCCCAGACGGGAGTAAGGCCGTTGTTGGGACGAGCCTCGCCACCTTTGGCGATGGAGGAGACAAATTCCCAGGTCTTGCCGCTGTCCTTGGAGGCGTATAGAACGATGTCAGTGGTTGAGAGATCGGTGGGGATAGAAGATCCAGAGATGAGGACGGTGCCGGCCTTGTAGCCACCAATCGCCTCAGGAAGTACGTAGAGGAATGGCTGGTAGCGCAGACCGAGGCCGTTCTTTGTGTCTTGCACGCGCGAGAACTCCTTCCACGACTTTCCGCCATCGGTTGACTTGAAGATGGGGAAGTAGACCTTTGGTGGCTCTGGCGAGTAGTTCTCCCAGGTTGCGAGGAGCGAACCATCAGCGAGCTGAGCACTGCGCGCATAAAGGACACCGGGGTCGGTCCAGTTCGCGTCCCTGGGTGGTGAGAAGATCACATTGCGAGAGAAGGTAGGCTGTTCTGCCTTCTTGGGGTGCGCAGAAACGGTCGTAGCGACGCTGATGAGCGACAGGAAGAGGGTGGAGAGACGCATCTTGAAGGCTTGAGAAATGTGCAAGATGAAGCCAAAATCGCAGCCGGCATCAACAAAGTATATAAACAAATGCCAATGCAACTCTACCGGCCAGTCAACCGGGATCTACCATACTACCATGTGAACGATACTCTGTTCCCGGTCGGTGGTGCGAGGTAGTTCTCGGAGTCTGCCCGTTTAACGTCATGTCGCCCTGCCACACATGGCAAGCATCCTTGCTCTCCGCAAAAACCACGTCGTTCAATGGCGGGAATCTGGAGACCGCTGTCCGGAGTAATTGTGGGGAACAAGGATCTTCGTGTCTTGCGGGGAAAGCGGTAGTTTATACACCGAGCAAGCCTTAGCTAACTTAGCTAATGGCTAGTCATCGAATGTGCCGAGGCGCGGAGGTAGAACTATGAACAGATTGGTCCGGAAGAATGATGAGGGCATGTGACGAGAGTCTCTCCGGAGCATCATGGCCAAGATCTTGGAACTCGGAGGCATGCCGAAGTCGTGTTGTGGTGGTGTATGTATATGTCGGTGTTGGGGGCTGGAAGTGGAAGATGGCTGTGGCATGACGTACGGCATTGGCAGCGGGAAGGCGCGTCCACGGGTGCCATGGAACGCGACAGCTCGCTACCTCGAGCCACGAAGTCTATCTCAACATCATCGATGCGGACTGCGCAATCCATTCAGCAATCATGCGATACGCATCTCGTCTGGTACACGATCGGACGGGTTTGTTGAGTTCCAGTGGCGTGTCAGAGCGTGGCGCGTAGGAGGTTTGCACAGAAAGACAACACCGGCGACGCGTCTGGTGGCGAGAAGTAGGTACTACAGTGTATCGAGGCTGCGCAATCATACATCCACGCTTCAGCGGGTAAGGCAGAGTTAAGAAGACAGATGGAGATGAGGCAACCCACGCATGTGATGCTGGCTGCGTTCGGCTGATGAAGTTCGCCAATCAGCGGGTCAGCACGACAGCCTCGTTGATCGCTGTGCAGCAGTGGTGGCAGTGCAGGAACGACCGCAGCAGCCATCTCCGGTTCGTCGAAACTACAGCTGACTGCAGCCTGGACCGGTCAAAATCAGCAAGATGCCGCCCCTCTCTGCGTCCCTCAGGCGACTGTTCCTGCATCGCGGCGTGAACACTATGCGAACATGGTAAGTCTCTATGGCTCTCAGGCTTAAAGCAGGGCGGCCCTTCGTCATCGCAAGGCTGAAGAAGAAAGTGATGATTCTGGTGGCTGACTTGCGTGATAGGCGTCCTCCATAGCTTCACCCGTCCCTTTGCGCTTCAATCAGCAACAACCGATGAGCAATGATCCAATATCATCTGATGCGGGGCGCGAAACGCCTCTTCCGCAATACGAAAAGACGCAATCCGTGCCATTCACCCTAAATCTCCAGGAAGACGCGCGCAACCCTGGCCAATTCCAGCTCGTCTTCAACCTTGGCCCGAAACAGCAGTCATCGATCGGAGTGCCTCTGAGCTGTGCACCAAATGTTGCTGCTTCTACAACCCCACGAGACGGCTTGAAGTCTAATGTAGAGAGCTCCGTCCCTCAAAAGACGAGTCCGCCAACTACGCCTCTCCATGACAGGCAAGGCTGGGCCGACCTAGACAATGTACCTCCTGAATTTCTGAAAAAGGTCGTACCAGAGTGGGATGCGTCGTTCTCGCGGAGCGACTCAACAGCTTCCATCCAGTCCAAACGGCTTACAGACATCAAAGCCAGGATCAAGAAGAAAGGGAAGGGCTACGTGGTCCGCTTGTTGAAAGGCTCAACCGATTCGAACGAGATTGCCGAAGTTGATTTGGGCCAGCATATTGCTACGAATCAGGAATCAGAGACTCCAGAGCTTGACTCAGCGACTTTGCCTGCGGAGTTGTATTCGCCCCCAACAACTATTGCATCAACTTCTGATAGCGTTCTGGGTCGCAATGATATCTTCGAGATCGGTACTTCCAGTACATCAGGCGTGCAACGACCACCGCAGTCTACGAGTTCCCCAAGGAGTCATCTGCCGCATCATAGTTTAGCCAGAACTTCGATTGCGGAGGACGGATTCAGTGATGCCGAGACTTTGATACCAGACATTCGCTCGATCCATGACCGTATGGATGAAGATCAGACTGATGTAGAGCCGTCATCTCAAGCCCCATCCATGTTTCCCACCCGATCAGCTTCGGTCTCCAGTATCGTCAAAACCCCAACTCGCGGTCTGTCACTTGTTGGACCTGTGAGAAAGCGTGTCGAGAAGCGGACGCGTCCCCGAGTGAAGAGTCGTGCAGCGACTTTAGACCTCAAGCGATCGGACGCTCACAAATCCGTCAAACGTCGCGTGGGACCGACGAACCTCACATCCGATAATCAAGTGGTAGAAGTTTTGGTGAACTCGACTAATCTACGCCAACGCATCCGTCCGGTGTCTCGACAGTCGGGTGGGATTGATCTAGCGGCTGATGAGTATGCCACCTGGTCGCAACCGATGCGACACACGAGCGCGGCGAAGCCACGGCATCTTCGTCATGCATCAGCAGACGATCTACATGTTCCTGTTAGACCCAAACATGGCTTACGGTTGAACACCGACGTACCTCAGACCAAGTCAGCTCATGTGTCGCCAGCGACGTGCCGCAGGAGATCGCCTAGGATACGGAAGCACGCATCATCCTCTTCTTCGTCAATAGATACCGAGGAGGCCAATGCACTGCTATCACCCCAGTCGCCAGGAGCGAGTCGCGCAGATGAGCTCCGTGAAGCGCTGAGAAGAGCTTTAGATCAAATTGAGTCAGGGAATGAGGATCTTGACAACAGATTCGAAAAGCCTGTAGTTCCCACCATTGTCGAACCATCCATTGACGATCATGTTGGCGAGATACCGCTACCTCCGGAAGCTGAAATACGGATGGCATCTCCTGGGGGTCGAAACACAACATTGAGGTACTGGGGTCTTGCATTGAGTGCAATTTCAGACAAAGCACATGAAGGTTTCCGATTGCTTCGTGATACATTCGGTACTGAACCGCCCGTGCCGCAGGGGCATGTTCGTGTGCGATGGAATTGCGTCAGTAATCCAGCATACGCTCTCTCTGGTCCCTGCTAACAAGATGTAGTCATGCGGTGAGCCATTGTATGACGACTTCATCGAACAGCGACCCAATGCTGCCCGCCTTCTAGAAGCTTATCTCAATCGCCCAAGAGCTCATACACCACATAGTCCTACCAGCCAAAGCAGTACGGCGTCATCGATGGCCTCCATCTTTGACACGTCTAGCAGAGCATCTACATTGACCACGCCGTCGTCGACATATGGCGGGTCTAACTCTTGGGCCAGAGGTAGCGACCCTTCCAAGTATAGCCCATCTCGTACCGTCGCCAGCAACCCCTTCAGTGTCCGTATGCCGTCCTTCATCCAAGAATCCTGGCTCCTGACCTGTGCGAACGAGGGCCGCCTGACACCAAAGATCGTCCATCTCGATGTCAACGAAGGGCGCGTAAGGAGCGATAAAGACCTTGCGCTCGCCCTGCGAGAGCACTACGACCAGCTCAACCGCCGTTGGTTCAACTGGGCTCGTCTTCGCGGGCTGACGACCATCGAGTTTGTTCAATTCGAAGTCCATCGCAATCGCTTCGCTGATATCCGTGCGACACCGTCCATGCCGCCCAAGTCGGCTGCCTCTTCAGCGTCGACCAGCGAACCAGAGAAGTCTGCAGCGCCGTCTCAGCATCCGTACACCTTTGAGCCCAACGACCTCCTGCCGCCTGTTGGTAGCACATATCTTCTCCATTTGTTCAAGCATCCGCAGGACTATGAGGGCGAGCTGATTACGTATCTTCGCAGTCCGAAACGGCGACAGCGGTTGGAGTTCGGTATGGGCTGGGGCGTTCATCTCGTGGAGGGATTTCTTGCGCAGCGCGTGTGGGCAGTTACGATGGGCATTTGCGGCTTGGGTAGTGCGGTGTTCGCGATTCTGTGGACGATTAGGAATGGCGATATCCAGGGTGCTTTCGGAGTCGCTCAGTGGGTGTTGGGTGTTGCGGTATTGTTGGTTGGTGGTATGCAAGCGTGGTTGGAGTAGCCGCTTACGTATACTTTTCACTCAACGCGTGCCATACCACAACAAGCTGTACAGGATGCAAGAAGAGCGCAATCAGCACAACCACAAGGCATGGAGGGCCGTAGAGTCTACACCGACGTCGTGGGTTGTTGATACCCACCCTTCATCGCTGTTGTATTCCCAGAAAGAGAAAGTTGCCCAGACCTTTAGCAAAAAAACAAGCCGATGTAGACATGATCTGGGACGTCTACACAAGCAAAAACGATGGCTTCTCAACGATTCGAACGTTGATTTACACAAGTGGGGCGCGCAGCGATGGCACATTTAAGCAGGTCTTTCAATACACATACTTATACAAACGACCTCTACGGAGAACCTTGTCGTTCTGTGTCGTCATACCATTAGACCAAGAAGCCTGGTATGTTTTGATGAAGAGAGAACCGGCTTCATAACACATATAGAACTATTAGAGTTGTTGTGGAAAACTGAAGACAACATGGTAAAAAAAAAGCACTGTCCTTCACCTCAAACATGCCGCCAACAAAAATCACAATTGGAGCGGCACACCCGCGCAAACGCACTTGCACTTCACCTTACCTTACGTACGTACTTAAAGCCAGCAAAAAAGATGATATACTTGGTCTCTGCTAGGGTCGAACTAGCGTTTATCACATACACACTGTGGAATCACGCCTATCGACAGCCCCACGGCCCGACAGAGGTGCCAGAACAAACTGACACCCGCATGGAACCACAGGAGATTGTAAGTGATCGTCTTACCACTGGACTAAGCGACCTGAGTTGGGTTGTTTTTATGAAAGAAGAAGGGTCTACGCGGTATATATGGACAGTGAGGGTGACATCACCTCCCAGCTGAAGCGAGAGCAGTACGATAAGTGAGCGGGGAGGTACTTGTGCTTCTGCAGTAGCAGGGAGATCGTGATGATGGTGCCAGGAGCTGTACGCGGAGCTGTTATGCTGGCTGCCCATTGCAGTGTTTTGGTGTTCTGAGATTGATTTGAGATATGCGTGACATCATCACCTCGGGAACAACGAGACAATGGAGCCCCCAAGAGTTCGTTGAAGGGCGCTACATCAACAGATGGTTCAGAATAACCTAGCCTGACGTCCGTATGAAGTTCTGCTGAGGAAATTTGGCATATGGAACGTGGAGGCAAAGCAGTCCTCACAGCAATTAAAACATGAAAGAACGAGTGGAAAGACGCCAAACAGCTTCAGACTGAGTGACAGTATGAGATGGAACGAGAGACACGCACCGTGGTAGGCAAGACGGCAGGACAGATCCGTCACACCAACCTGCTGTGGATGTTCATCACGAGCTACGTTTGAGACATAGAGAAGAAGAAACAGCCTCAGGCCCACACCATATACAACGACAGCCTAAAAGGCAGAACGGATAAAGACAAAGGTAAAAAGATGTTAAAGTCGACGGCGCCGCGCCTGAGATGCAGTTGCACCGCCAGCCGTCCAAGAAGCGCCGCCCCCGAATACCCGACTTGATTAATATCGACGACGATGTCGTCAAACACGCCTGCCTCGATCTAGGCGCATCTCCGCTCACTACCATTGGGGGCAATATTGGCCGTTTCACGTCTGAAACCAGGCTGCACACGCGAAGTTCGGTGGTGGGCCCCAAGGATCGGTTGCGCTGTCAGGGGTGCATAACGGTTGCGCGCGCGACGTTGACGAGTCGACAACATCGGTGTGGATATTGTGCAGGATTGAAGGAAGCTTGGTGTTGCGTGCGATGACTCTGGTCGGTCGGGGGTGTTTTGGAGATGTGATGACATGGTGAGGTCACGGCAGCTGGGTTCGGCAACCGGACCGTCTTACTGACGTACCTTTCAAGCCCGCCATCGAGGGCATGAACATCAACCCTACCGTTCATCAACACCATATCTACCAACCCAGCACGATCGGATCTAGACGTCTGACAGGCGCCACAGAGTGCGGCGCTCTCGGCATCTCGTTTGACAGAAACAACTAAGCTCTTGGCAGCGTCTAGTATGCAAGGGCGCACCCAGGAACACGCGGGATGCACGTTTCGCGCGGCCCCGCTGCACGTTATCGCTCGAACCCGAAACCACAACAACGCCGACCGGAACGATTCATGACGATGAACACGCTGCGTACGATGCATACCGGAGACCGAGAACTGGATTGTGGCAGGGCGCAGTGATTCTGGAACTGGTCCGGAGCCGTGGGATGGCTCTTGGCTGCAGACAGGAAACGGCCTGCGCATCCTGACAATGTCGCTTGTCTCTCCGCAACAGGAAACATGGCGATTCAAACAACGCGGGATGCATATTCCTGCGCGCCCGGCATGAACCCACCATTCTGGGCTCTCATTTTGCGAGTCGCCCAGGATGTGGGTCAATGGATGCCGAGCATTTGTAGGAGCAGAGACTGAACTGAATAAATAGGGCACCTGGTACCTCACTCCAAGCACCATCGCTACAGCTTCAATCTTCGGTTCTATACCAGTCCCTTCTTTTCAACTCACATTCGTTCATCAAGTCCTTCACTGCGTGAAGCCGGCAGACACTCTTTCAACAACTTCCAAACTTTCGTCTCTATCGAACCTACCAACTCCATTCTTTCGAAGAACCCCATCTACATCAGTCAACATGTACAAGACCGTTACCTCCCTCAGCGCCATCGCGGCTCTCGCTGCCACCGCCACTGCCCACGGCATTGTCAACGGCGTCACCATCGACGGTGTCTTCCAGCAGGGCTTCAGCCTCGACTACTACTACGCTAAGCAGAACAACGGTCAGGTGCCAGAGCACATTGGCTGGTACGCCGAGAACCTCGACAACGGCTTCGTCGAGCCCAACTCCTTCGGCGATGCCGACATCATCTGCCACAAGGCTGCCAGCCCCGAGGGCAGCTCCGACAGCATGGCCAAGGTCGCCGCCGGTGGCACCGTTGAGTTCCACTGGAGCACCTGGCCCGAGAGCCACGTCGGTCCCGTCATCACCTACGTCGCTCCCTACACTGGCGACGTTACCGCCGTCAAGAAGGAGGACCTCAAGTGGACCAAGATTGACGGTGCTGGCTACGAGAACGGCGAGTGGGCTGCCATCAAGATGATCGGCCAGAACAACACCTGGCCCGTTACTGTCCCCGAGAGCCTTGCCGCGGGCAAGTACGTCTTCCGCCACGAGATCATTGCCCTCCATGGCGGTGGTGACGCCAACGGCGCCCAGGCCTACCCTCAATGTAAGAAAACCCCGCCAGTCACATGAAGAACCAATCACTAATTGAATCTCCAGGCTTGAACATCGAGGTCACTGGCTCCGGAACCGAGATCCCAGAGGGCGTCATCGGCACTGAGCTCTACACCGCCACCGACCCCGGTATCCTCTTCAGCCCCTACGGCGCCAACATCGACTACACCGTCCCCGGCCCTCCTCTCTTCGGCTCCGGCGGCTCTGGTTCCGCTCCCAGCAACGGCACCACTCCCACTAAGCCCAGCACTCCTTCCGCTGCCCCCAGCGCCAGCGGCACTCCCTCCACTCCCAGCGCCAGCCCTTCGTCCAGCCCCGTCGCTACCCCCGAGGCCGAGCCTTCCACTGTTCCTTCCGCTACTCCTTCCGCTGCTCCTTCCACCGGCGGTGACGCCCTCCCCGAGAGCTTCACCATCGACACCTTCATCACCTGGTTGGAGGGTAAGGCCAGCGGCTCTGCTTCCAAGGCTCGCCGCCACGCTCGCTCTTTCTTGTAAGCGTCGAGGAAATACGCTGGGGATGATATGATTTGATGGATACCCTTCTTCTGAGAGAGACTACCTTTTGATGGTTCGTTCGTTGGATACGACGACTGTTTCGCTTCTTTGTGTATATACACCCGTTTCTTGTAGCATAGCGCTTTGGTTATTTAACCGATGTTTACATTTCTATTCATCTACTTGAGAATTTGTGATGTCCGTTGACCTTGTGCTTGCCCATTCAAATTGGAGGACACCTCCATCTCCGCACCCTCCTCCTGCAAGCCCCCCAACCACATGAGAGACTGGCTGCCGAGAAGGTTCACAGCGTCAGAGTGCATGCACTCAGCAGTCCCTGTGTACTCTTGTATTCCTGCTCGTATCCGCGGATCTTGCCAACTTCGACGACAACCTCTCCAAATGCTCCAAACTGTAGGTGTATCTTCTGAGCTTCGCGCTCGAGCTTAGTGTCTTCTTACAAGGGCACTTGATGTGTGAATTCGTTGGATGGTAAGTCGAGAACGGTTGTCTGCGTCTCTGTTTCGCGGGGTGGTAGGATCGGTTGGCAGCGTGCCCAAGGAACGAGTTCGGCTCACTGCCTACTTGCGGAGAGAACCGCGACAGCAGTGGAAGGAGTATGCTGGCAGCACATTAGCCTGGTATTCAGAAGCAGCGTGCGGAGGCGGGGAGCGAGCCGATGGCTGTGGCGTGCTCGGTGGTGACCTGGATAATCGGGCTCTCGCACTGCGGCGGAGTCCACGTGTAGCTTCTCATTGATCAGTGAGCGATGTAAGGACTACGATGGCTTTTTGATTGTGGTCGCCGTGGCGGTGAGCTCGTTCTCTAGATGTAGATGTAAGTCACAATTGTCCTGCCGTCCTTTGTCTGGCTGCGCTGGTCGCGTTGGACTTCCCGCCAGGAGAGACTGAGCATAACGAGCTGCAGGCGCAGAAGCTGACTGGATAGTGGTATCTGGTTCACACGGTGTGTGTCGCGGGGCTCAAGGGAAGCGTGGAGAGTGCTGAGAGTCGCAACATAAACGCAAAAAGAGCAGCATGTCGACCGTGAGAGCGCACTGCCTGGGCGTAGTGACATGCTGGTACAGCATAGCAAAGAGGGACTCATAAGGAGAATGACATGGGAGATAGCACCGTCACAGCTTCAAGAAGCCAGATTAGCGAGGACATATCATCATGGGCATAGCATCACATCCGAGATAGATTCAGGTCAAATCAAGTCAAGTCAAGTCAACATAAGCGAAATCAAGGCACACTGAAGTCACAACAATAACAAATTCGAAAGTCACAGTCACAAAAGCCTTCCTCAAGGCAGTGCATGAAGCACTGCACTCAATGAGAGCCCACACTCTACCCCATCGCTGCGAAATGCGAAGAGGATTCGGTCTTAGCTCTTGCGAGCTAAGTTGGGAATCGCCGTATGCGAAGGCGGAGGAAGCCTTACCGAGTCTGTTGAGAAGTTAGCAGGTTTTCTTGGGAAAGTGTGGAAAGGGAAAGCAAAAGTAGATCTGTGGCGCCGTGTTAGCAGATGTCTTGGGAAGGTGCAGAAAGAAGAAAGCAAAAGCAGAAAGCAGAAAGCAAAACAGAAAGCAGAAAGCAACTATCTAAAGAGGCCCGGCGAAGGAAGGTGAGTTGGTGGTTTGGGCAGGGGGAAACGCTGTTTATATAGTGGGAGGAGAGGCCGCCAAGAGCCTGAAAGCACGGAGCTTCTTAGTCATGCTGTCGGGGTCGTGCCCAGGTGCTGTCGGGGGAACACCGGGAGATTAAAGTCGTGGTGAGGGTGACTTTTGCAACGGGAAGGAGCGGGGGAGTGATGTGGTTGGCTGGGAGCGGACGGGGAAGGTGCGTGTTGACGGGTCAGTGCGGCAGCATTTTTGATATGACGTACGAGCAGAGATACGGCAGGCTACAGGAGGACTTGATGATGGCATTGATTGCAAAGACGGCATGTTATACTGTGAGATATCCGCGAAACGATTCTGATATACATGTCATGTTCTAAAATTGGCGATTTTTCCGCTCCGCAGCACCTCCTTCAGGCGGTGCCAGGCGCTCCAAGTGCCTCCAAGCCAGCAGCTCTACCCACTTCTTGATGATCAGCTCCCAATTCTCCTTGAGCTCGTTGAAGGGCTTGTAGTTATTCAGTGCAGCAGCCAGCACCGCGCCCTCATGCTCCAAATCAATACCGTGCCGAGTGAGTTCGTTCCCGTAGTTCAACTGCGCGTACTCGTGAAGTAGTCTATCAAGAAGGGCATTGAGGTCTTCTTCAAGCTCATACGGGGTAGTCATCAGCTTGATCGCGTCTTTGATTTGAGCGAGGAACCCGCAGACGAAGGGGTTGCAGGCGAAGCTGGCTACGAGCGTGTTTGCGGCACGCGCAGTGTAGTGTCCAGCGACGCCGCCGAGGGCTACGGGGTCCAGGAGCTGGTCCTCGAACATAGTGTAGACGTGTTGTAAAATGACCTCAGCCTCCCCGCCTACGAACGCGATCAGGTTGTTCATGACCTCCGGCTGCTCGCGGATCTTGTCGATGCGCTCCTTGTCGTAAAACTGGTTGTCTAGACGGAGGTCTTGTGCGAGAGGTATAGGCTGCTCGAAGCCGACAATGCGGCGGCATGACGGGTGTGGGCACCGTACGAATTGGTCGTTGACGGCGTGGAAAGTCTTGGTGAGGCAGTCGCGGCAGTGGAAGTCGTCGCTCTTGTGGCAAGACAAGTCGTAAAGTGGGACGGTAGTCGAATCGCAGGATGCGCAGTTGTCGCCTGTGATACCCATGAGCTGGGGGGCTTGGGTGGAGGGAGTGGCCATTGTGTTGCGGATTTTGTGTTGCGGGTTCGACGTGTTGGGCTCGGAGTGTTGCGTCCGCGTCAGGATAGCAATGTTGGTTAAGTTCGGACTCGAGTGGATTTCTGAACCATCACAGGGAGGAAATAGGCGTTAATATATAGATCCACCTACATTGCTTCGACCCAGTGTCAAACTCGGCGTTGACAATGCGACAATGGATGTGACGGCCATTATGCAATCTTCACGACGTCTTTATGGACTGAGACCGGAGCCCAGCTTACGACGAGAGAGCGTTAGGACAAGATTGTCTAGAGAACATTGTGTGGAAAATGACAAGAAGAAGCAACGGCGTCGCTGCGCACAGAGGCTCTGGTAGAGCTGCTGGCTGTTCTGGTCATCTGATATTGGAGACGGAAACATGAGATCCGCAGGTGCGAAAGCCGAGGAAACCAAAAATCGGAACAAGTTGATGGACAAGAATTATTGACGAAGAAGACAAGGCGTTGTGTAGAGAGATGGAGTTGAGAATATGAGCCAGATGACATGGCAGGAGTTGCGCGAAGCTACAGAAAGTCTTCCCTAGACCATAGAAGCCACTAGCCATTGACACCGTAGTTTGCGAGATCATTATAGATGTAGAAGTTCAGGTGGAATACTTGGCGTACGATGGCCGGATGACGCTGTGCGCGACGTGCGGAGAGCGATCACGTGGTTGATGAACCCTCTGTCGCATAGAATGAAGTTCTACAAGATGCAACTGCGTGATTAGAGATGCCTGCCAGAACGCGCGCTCCTTTCGGAGAGATGTGCGATGCGCATGAAGGTCTGATGTTGGCAGCGAATTCCGCGGCTCCTCAGACCCCTGACATGGCAGCCGCGCTAAGATAGGACGAGATAAGTGCGTGACGCCATCGACCTCGGTGTCCGGCATAGCTCCGCGCAGCTGTCTCTTATCTCAACTTCCATCTTGCATGCCTCTGGCCAGGTGTGAAAGAATCCGCTTGTTTGTATATGCAGCTCCCGGCGAGCAATGAGAAGCCAGCGACAATGGCCGACGAAAGCACCCCGCTGATCCAGCGCGTCGATGTCCGACCCCATCGTGACCGATACCCACACCATCGCCTTCGATTTGTATGCACGACTTTGCTGAGCGCGACGATAATCGCCGGAGGACTTGCTGCCGTCTTCCTTTTCGCCTTTGCGCCACCCTCTCAAGACGAAGTAGCCCCTGCATCACGAATCTCGGCATCTTCCTTATCGACCTCACAAATACCCGACGGATGGGCGCGCAAGACGGCCCTGGACTTTGAAGGCCTCAAGGCGGCGCTCTTGGAAACACCCAGTGCTGAAAAGGCAGAAGAATGGAGCAGGTACTACACCAGCGGACCGCACCTCGCTGGCAAGAACCTTAGCCAGGCTCTATGGACCAGAGAAAGATGGCAGGAATGGGGAGTCGAAAGCACCATTGTCGACTACGACGTCTACATCAACTACCCCAAGGGCCATCGATTGGTACTCATGGAGAAGATTGGCGACAAGGAAGACGCGGCTGACAGCACGACAAAGCAAGAGTGGAAGGTCAAATACGAAGCGCGACTGGAAGAAGACGTCTTGGACGAGGATAAGTCAAGCCAGCTCGCAGATCGCGTGCCAACCTTCCACGGATACAGCGCCTCTGGCAACGTGACGGCGCCTTACGTCTTCGTCAACTACGGAACATATCGAGATTTTGAGGAGCTCCAGGCGGCCAACGTCAGTTTGGAAGGCAAGATCGCATTGGCCAAGTACGGAGGCGTCTTCCGCGGTCTCAAGGTCAAGCGCGCGCAAGAGCTAGGCATGGTTGGTGTTGCGATGTACACCGACCCTGGCGATGATGGAGAGGTCACCGAAAAGAACGGCGTTGCGACATATCCCGACGGACCGGCCAGAGAACCCAGCAGCGTCCAGCGAGGAAGCGTTCAGTTCTTGAGTAAGTGATTACCCATCATTCTGTCGTGCCATGCTAACAATCTACAGGCTTTGCGCCAGGTGACCCTACCACTCCAGGCTATCCCTCGAAACCTGGCTGCCCTCGCCAGCCCGTTGACCACGCGATGCCACACATCCCATCTCTTCCCATCTCCTACCTCGACGCGCTTCCCCTCCTCAAAGCCCTCAATGGCCACGGTCCGAAAGCCTCATCCTTCAACGAGCACTGGCACGGCGGCGGTTTGGACTACAAGGGCGTGGAATACAACATTGGGCCTTCGCCAGATGACCTTGTGCTCAACCTAGTCAATGAGCAGGAGTACGTTACGACGCCCTTGTGGAATGTCATTGGAATCATCAACGGCACCATTCCCGATGAAGTCGTTGTTCTCGGTAACCACCGTGATGCATGGATTGCTGGAGGCGCAGGAGACCCCAACAGCGGCAGCGCAGCGCTCAACGAGGTCATCAGAAGCTTTGGAGCTGCCATGGAGGCTGGCTGGAAGCCAATGAGGACAATCGTCTTCGCCAGCTGGGACGGAGAAGAGTATGGCTTAGTTGGCAGCACCGAGTGGGTTGAGGAATACCTGCCTTGGCTCTCTGGCTCGACCGTCGCGTACCTGAATGTCGACGTCGCCACAGCAGGCCCGAACTTCAAGCTCTCGGCGGCGCCCTTGATGAGCAGTGTGGTGGAGGAAGTCGGTAAGTTTACTGTTATACCCTGTCACTCAGCGTCAGCTAACATCTACCAGCTCGTATGGTCATGTCTCCGAACCAGACTGTCGCTGGCCAATCTGTCTACGATGTTTGGGACAAGCGCATTGAGACGATGGGCTCTGGCAGCGACTTCACCGCCTTCCAGGATTTCGCCGGCATTCCATGCATTGACATGGGCTTCGGCTTTGATGCCAAGTCAGCAGTCTACCACTATCACAGCAACTACGATTCCTTCGACTGGATGAAGAAGTACGGCGACCCGACCTTCGAATACCATGCCACTATCGCCAAGATGTGGGCGCTCGTAGCAGCTAAGCTCGTCGAGACACCCATCCTCCAGCTGAATGCCACAGACTACGCGGTCGGCCTTCAGACCTATGTGGACGCCGTCAAACGAAAGGCCTTCGACGCCGGCCCCCCAAACAAAGGCTCCAGCGAAGTCTTCCAACCTCTCGATGAAGCCGTCTCCCACTTCCTCTTCGCGTCCATCCTCCACGACGCCACCGCCGCTGATCTCGCAGCGCAATACGAAAACATCGGCGACATTCCCTGGTGGCAGCCCTGGAAGAAGGTGCAACTATACCTCGCCATCCGCGGCATCAACACAAAGTACAAGTACCTGGAGAGGAAGTTCCTGTTCCCGGACGGTCTTGATGGCCGAAGCTGGTTCAAGCACGTCGTCTTCGCACCTGGGAAGTGGACGGGCTATTCTGGTGCCACGTTCCCCGGTATCGTCGAGGCGATTGAAGATGAGAGTGAAGAGGGGGTTGTAAGGTGGGTTGGCATTGTCAGTAGGGCTATTGGTAGTGCTGCGGACTGGTTGGAGGAGTAGGAGTTGGATCGGACATCCACTTTATACCCGTTGTAAGTAGGAGTACGAGGATGCCAGGACCCTACATGCCGCTCGTCATGTTGTGATACGAGCGCCGTGATACCTTGTGAGGCTTACATATGGTTTGGGGGTGGGTAGCTGGAAAGTGCATAGTATATTCAACGGCATACACATCACTGGCACAGAGGAGATCAAGACGGCATAATATGGCGAGGAGGACACGATCTATTCAGATTTTGCAAATCGTATGGCCTAGGGCCCAAAGTTTCCGCCCGAGGTCATCTTGTCCCCGAAGGGCAGCCAGCCGGCGAGGGTGCGAGGAGGGGGGCCAGGCGGCTCTATGCTTCTGTTTACATGTTAGCAGTGTTCCAATTAGGTATAGTGTGAGTGTTGTTGATGGAGGAGAGTAGATATGAAGACACTCTGCTGATACAGCTCCAAATGCTCAACTACCAAAACAAGTGAAAGGAATATAACTTACGCTGGAAGTGGGCCTCGCGCGCGAGGGTCACCTCGTAGGCGGGGAGGAAGACGGCCAGCGCGCGCCGGCAGAGGCGGATGGTGCGCCGAAGCGCCAGGTCTTCGTCGACACTCCACGTGCCGCACTGCACGTGCCGGCGGCGGGCGGCATGGGCGAACCTGAGCTGGAACTCCTATTAATACTGTATCCTTCTGGGTATAACATTGTATCGTAGAAAGGAGCTGTGGATGTGTTGTAGCAGGTAGATACTTACTTCGCGGCGAGCGAGGTGGATGCCCTCGGCGAGCTCGGAGGAGGAGACGGGCATGTTGGTGGTGATGATTTGGTATGATGTCTACGTATATATATGTTAGCTACATGTAACCAAATACTGTGAATTGGAGCTGAAATATAAGGTTCAGAAGAATACGTACGTGTGTGAGGTGGTGGATGGGTTAAGGAACAGAAGTCAGCCAGAGACGCGGATTTGTACCTACCTACCTTGCTCCCCCTCCTCACACTCACACATACGCTTTGGGAAGCGGAGCGGGGGAGGACATTTCACCGTGAGAAACGGGAAATTGCACGTCGCGCGGCGAGGAAACAGTGATGGTGCAAGTTTTCTCTTCCTTTGGATTTTCATCCTTGGTGCGTTCAGTGCCATTTCAGCAGGCTCACCTTCACCTTTGCGGCACATGAGCATTGAGGGAGTTTAAAATAGTTGCAATCTTGATATCTACGCAAAAAGAACCAGTAGATACTCTAGTCTGTGGCATATATTGCAAATTTCATGCTGCGACCAAGTCCTTCACACAAGCCATCTACCGAATACACCCCAATTGAACCCCCTCACAAGCTTCAACTCCAGCTCCACGTCGTCCTCGCGCTCGATCATACGCTCAACAAACCCCCAGTAGAACCGAAATGTAAGCTGCTACTAGCCATGCCAAGACCATGAAGAGGCTCAAGACACTAGTTGTAGCGCTCGCCTCAGCTACCCATCTATGCTCTCGGTGAGTGTAAGAAGAGCACGAGGATAGAAGA